CGTGTTGTACAGACACACACACACACACACACACACACACACACACACACACACATACACGAACGCCTCTGAAAACATAACCTTCTTGGCGAAGGTAATAAAACAAGAGAAAGTCGTACTACTACTTACACATTGTGCTGAGCACACAGAAATAATATTGTTTTCTTCTGTGATTCTCTCTCCTTAAGGCAACGCTAACCCCTTACATCGCGTCCAAGATCAGCTACAAGACGTTGTTCGTGACCGGACTTGTGCTGTACGCATTGGGGATCTCCTTGCTTCCGTCAATGTCCAGCATCTCAGGACTAGAGGCTATGACGAGTCGCGCAGTATCAAACCAAACGGCGCAATCTAGCGATTTGATACAGAACTTCACCGCAGCTGAATGTTCCTCGACGGCGTATCCGCAAGTGATGACGGAAGGTTACACACAGACAGCGGCAGAAATAAACGCGACAGTCGAGAGACCGCTCACCGGCCAGTGTCGCCTAGAGGGGCACACGAGAGAGACCTCCCAACCCCCGGTATCAAACGCGCTCCCCTGGGTCTGGGGCCTACTGCTGTCTGTGGTGTTGTTGATGGAACAGGGACGGTACGATATTAATCGTTGCTATTGTTGTTTAGCAGACTCTGTGTCTATACATTCTATATTCTATTCTACTATAGTCTTACTATGTATTAGTTTTACAATGATGTTGGGCATCATAGAGAAGAAGCACTTTGATCTTTTTCAAGGGTAGGTATCACCTTTAGTTGGGGATGCTGTATTTGTTAATCAGCATTTTCCACATGGAAAGTGGGTTGTACGTGATTACAGCGTACTATTTCTAGGATCTGTAGAATGAGAACAAGTAAAGGCACCTTTCCTAGCTCGTATACCAAGTAAATCACGTTTCCCGTCGGCTGAACAGACAATCACGTGACCCTACCCTGATACTAATTATTCCGCCCCTTTACCCTCTGACCCTTCCTCCCTAACCCTCGTAAGGGTCATTCGTGGCTCAACCTGTTCGTGACGGTGAGCTCACTACCCTAATTGTGTGTGTTTGTCTGTGAAATAGACGGGAAACATAGTTCTCTTCGGAGCTTGCGAAGAAGAGAAGAGAACATTTTTAAATGTATGATGTCATTTCAAATAGAGGGGCAGTGATGTAAACAGATTGCACACATTTCCAGTGAACGAAGCGTCGAAGCTAAACATTTAGCACATCTACAGGTGGATGACAATGCGCATTGACTGTTGCAAATTATTTGAAATGGTCCTGAAATCGAGACGCCTTTGAAAAAGGGATGTCAGACTGCCGCGGGGGGTCCTGAAGTGGCCTTAATTGGCATTTTTAGTTTGTTTTATCCAGTGACTTGGTAAGGAATATACAATATACGGTAGATGTGTTTACCAGATATTGATGATTATGAAAGACTGAACTGTAACTTCCAACACTAGGTATAGAATTGGGACTTACCCCAAATTTTCGGTTGACTCCATCAACCTTGTTCACGGAATGGACCCGTCTACTCTTGGAACGTGACGTCAGAGACACGTGACCGTAGTAGCGGGACATACGTGCCAGATAACTTGTGTCGCCCCCCGTCTCTGTTCAGGGTAGGTCTGTTAGCTCTTATGTAGACTGCCTCCTTAACTCCTCTTTTTGGGGTTTTGGGGTAAGTCCCAATTCTATACCTAGTGTTGGAAGTTACAGTTCAGTCTTTATTTCATAATGATTTGTACCAACACAGATGGACTTTCATGCTAAGATATTGATGATTATCATTTGTGTACGCAAGAAACTGTCGTGGCTATAAAACTAGTATTGTAGTTAGTGTTATCGGAAATAAACAGCCTACTGAATTCGAGTGAAACTGTTCATTTTTATCCACAGGGTCAATCAGACATAGCTAATTTATCAGTGATTCTTGATATAAATGTCTTTCCTCCATTTTGCAGCTCATTCTCATTCCTGGCCAGTATGGTTCTGGTAGGAAACTCCGGTGTGGTGAGTAACATACCTCTTGTTAAAGATTAATATACATACATTGTTAAGACACAAAATATTTCTTCAGCTGCAGTCTCACGTCAGTAACAATTAGAATTTCACCGTCCAAATTGTATCCACAGCGTTACAAATGTATTGACGTTTATGGAATTAAAATAACCTTTATTACATATTCCTGAACAGATGGGCTAAATGCACAGGTGACTATATGTGGTCTAGATGATATAAAACACAGTATTAAACACTAAAACGCTATACTGTATTTCTTGATTTGATAACGGTCACTTGATTATAGCGGTTTTAGCGGTCACTATTCCACCGCTAAATTTTCATGATCGCAACTCTTTTTACCACTTCCGCCCCCCTCCCTCTTGCTCCAAGCTCGTTACGGTACGATCGCAATCACGCTTCATTTCTTGACTACAACATGCACACAACGCACAGTACAAGTGTTTCACATATAACACCGATGTGCTTCCAGAAATAAAATATTTATTAAACATAAAGTAGTTCATATTTTTAACAATTATGCAGTGCTAAGCAAACCAAAGTAAAAAAAAAGATCTTGTGAACATGCACAAACACAAATTATGGCGTCGCAGTGACGCTTTGAAATTTCCCAACTAATCTACACTTGGATATTTATAAATATTTAGCGTATATTTCGATTTAGAAGTTTGTTCATAAATTTACAGAAGCGATAGTACCAAATCCCGCGTCACTCTGCCCTCTGTTCGGGTTAAGATATGGGTGGTAAAGACGGGCTATAGGCCCAGGCCCGAACAGTAGCAAAGCGGTACGCGCGGATGACACCATTTTACCTGGTATCGCATTAATTCAAATGACGTATAACGTCAAGAAAACGCGTTTGGCTTCCCGACTGGGCCGGATAACAATAAACTGTATCTGGAGCCGCTGTTATCTGGCGCCCTAATGCTTAGGTCACAATTCAAGAAAGGGGCCCGCTCGGCGCGTGTTCGGCGTGTTTTTTGGCACTACCGAACGGGACCTGGACGGAGACCGGCGGGCTTCCCGACGGCTGCCGGTCTATTTTTGGCCCCGCGCGGTCGCCGAATCGATTTTAACTCAGAGTTAAAAACACTTCGGGCCCCGTTCGGCGAAATACGCCGAAGCGACGCCGTAACCTCACTGCCCGGGACCCGTCGGGCGGCCGAACAGGCACCTGCCTAAGATTATGACGTCACATGTGCTGATCAGTGCATCAGATGGTCAGGAAAAGGGGGTTATAGGGAGCATATATAAACTCCTGCCTCAGACTACGTCGCACAGTTCACCACGTGTGTGTTACATCGTGTACTTGTGTGTGTTACACCTTGTATTTGTGTCAGAATGTCGAAGGGCAAGGGAAAACAGCCGGCACGGCTCTCTTGCCAACTTCATAAAACAGATCATAACAGGAATAGAATGTGTCTGACATTATCTCTTGTTACATCATATGCCTTCGTAATAAAATGGAATCAGAAGTTATTGGCATTTATGTTCAGTCCAAATTTCAACAGAAGTAACGATATTCAGTGGTTTTATTGCTCAATAGCAAGCGGCACACTTCCTGCGTCACTGCTGAAGTACTTCCTGCGTCACTGTTGAAGTACTTTCGAAAGTAGGCCCTCGGTTACTTTTCGACGCACCAGTTTTGCCTGCCTCTCTTCTTCAGCTACCAATGCCAGAAGACCTACATGTTGGTTGTCACCAATCTCAATCTCAGACGGGCTTGTAAGTTGTTTGCAGGTTGCACTGAACGCTGCATCGCCAACTTCAGTCTTCTCTTTACTTGACGTGTACTCTTTACTTGAAGTGAACGGTAGCAGGCAGTGCAGCGCTTATATATGTACCTGCTCAAAAACACGAGAGGAGCCCGTCGGGATCCCGCCAGGAACCCGCCAGGGACCTGACAGCTGCCCGGCCGAACTGTAAGAGCCGGTCGGCACCCTACCACACGCCGCACGGGTCAAGACGGGCGACTGACCGGGCACCGGACGGGTCCCTGACAGAAACCGGCCGCAAAAGTTTATGAATATTAATGAGAGCCGCCGGCCGGAGCACAAGCAGGCCCCGACAGGGAGCCGTAAAGGAACATTTAATTGTGACCCTGACAGTACGGCGCACGCTCGGCGTCATGACGCCGGCCGGCGTCTACACCGAGGACATGCCGAACGGGCGCCGTTTCAAATGTGACCTAAGCATAACCGAAGCAACGTTAAGCATACGTTTGGTGCAATATGAGACTTATCATAGCAATATATAACGATTGAAAATTGCCTACACGGGGAAAGAATCCTTATCATATCCTTAGTTCTTATTTCTGAGCTTAGCATAGTGCCTAAGCCATGACACTTCAGACACTGGACCCTTGCCTGTGGTGTGTTCTTCCGTGGTGTGTCCTTACATTCCCTTGTTGGCTGACGCAGTACTGGCGTTGGTGATACTGCGACGGGAAAAACACCGTACTGAAGTTAGGTGTCTAACGAAATCAGGCACTCATTTCCACCTGAACAGAGTGAAATGAGTGCACAGTGTTTTTTTTTTTTTCAAAGTCGACACCTCGGGGTTAATCATTAATTGGAAACTCCGTACTTCCTTTGGTCAAACCTATAGCGCTACACGGCACCTGCGCGTATCTTTTTTTTTTAAACTCCTCTTGTCCAAACCCTTTGCTCGCTCCATGGGTCACCTTTCCCATCCCTGCTCCGCGACCCCAGAGTGACATGTGGGGGTCTTACCCCTCCCATAGTGCATAGCGACTTGGGATAGGTAAACTCGGCGAAAACAGCGTATCATTTTTAGTTTGCCCCGAGCAAAGTTACCCGCACCTTTTCTGGTTGCCATTGGGCCAACCCTCACTGCAGCTGCATTTCTACTCTCTAGCCTATTAAAGCCGGAATCAGCCACCCCATCGTGGGAGAAATCTTTAATCTCGTTCTCTCATCCTTTGCTATCCTCCGTGTTCTGTTATGAAGGATATGAATGCCAACTCTATCTCAGAAACCGGTTTTCTCTAGCATGTCCAAACCACCGCGCACTACTAGTAATTTCCAGGTCGGGTCAGTCATGACTGGACATGCTGTTCTTTTCTGTCTTTAGCCGCGCAAGGGTAAACAAAGGATTCCTCAATTTCAAATCGACAGCTTCACCTCAGTAGAAAGGATACCAGTAGACGCTATATATGGGAAAGTTTTATTCCATCAATCCGCTCATGGTCTGACGTAGATCCCCGTCAAACGAGTTTGGGTTTGTTTTGAAATAACCTACTGTGTTCTAAGTTTTGCCAGTGAGATTCGGACTCTCCCGTCAGTGTGCGTCTATCATGTCCTGTCCAGTTCACGGACTACAGCCTACTTGCTCCCGTATCTATAACAGTCATTCTCAGTCCGTGGAAAATGACCCGCCCGACTAAGGGCCTCCCATACGCACTGAGCGCCGACGCACACTGTACATAACCGAGAATGGAGGGGGCTCTTCTGGAGCGTTCATTGCAAAGAGATCGTGGCCGGTTGAAACCCCTAGGTGGGCTGGCCTCACTAGTTGTTGCTCATGACCTCTGAATTTCTTTTCCGTCCGATAACCAGTCGTATGGGTCGCACTTGTGACACCAACTCACAACGGCTGTGGTGGGTCACCACCAGAGAATACTTACTAGTATAACAGATAAAAGTCTAGCATACAGTCAAGGCACTCACCTCACTCTGATCCGCACTCAGAAGTCGGTACGAAATCAGCGAGAGGCAAGAGAGAGAAGTTAGGCGTTACAGGAAGACAGAATTTTTACAAAATTCATAATGTTAGTGTCTGTTACAAATGCCTTGCACATCTGGTTCACTGTCGGTATGCTGACCATACCGTCGCTGTCTTTAACTCTTCCGTGCTAAATCTCTCCCATTGTCTCCACAGATCGGTCTCCCCAGATGGCTTTTAGAAATTCAAAATAGGTTATCATCTCCGGTCGAGTCGGAACCCTTCTGTTGTCCCAATGACAAAGAAATTCATTTTGCATATAGAGTGGTCACCTCTGTGTGAAATGTGGAAACAACCCCGGTGTGGGCCCATGTTTCCTGCGATAAAATGAATATTCCCTTCACACTTGCATGTCAGCCGATACAAACGCCACGATATCTCCAACTTGTGTTAAGAAACCCAAGTTTCAGCATGGAGGTAGTTCTACATCCATGGTTTCAGTAAACAACTTCACTGACAAAATGTCGGCTCGCGGTAACTTCATCGCCCGGCTCGAGCTAAACTCAAAAATTTTAACAACCTCAAACACAAATGTCGACTCGCGGGAACCCAAAGCCGTCCGGCCTGAGCCCAGGTTGAAAATTTCAACAACTTCAAGTACATTGTAAAATGTCGGCTCGCGGGAACCCAAAAACGCCCGGCCCGAGCGAAGTTCAAATTCAAACACGGCCCGAGCTTGGTTCAAACACAAATTTCGGCTCGCGGGAACTCAAAAAACACCCGGCCCGAGCTTAGTTCAAACATAACTTTCTGCTCGCGGGAAAATCCTCCGTCCCGAGCTTAGTTCAAACACAAATTTCTGCTCGCGGGAAAAACCTCCGGCCCGAGCTTAGTTCACATACAAATTTCTGCTCGCGGGAAAAACCTCCGGCCCGAGCTTAGTTCAAATACAAATTTCTGCTCGCGGGAAAAAACCTCCGGCCCGAGCTTAGTTCAAATACAAATTTCTGCTCGCGGGAAAAACCTCCGGCCCGAGCTTAGTTCAAACATAAAATTCGGCTCGCGGGAAACCAAAAACGCCCGGCCCGAGCAAAGTTAAAATTTCAATAAATTCAAACAACAATGGATGCACTGGAGTAGATACAGTACCTCGCAAAACACAAAAACTTTAGATCAACGTCAACGTCGTCGTCAGGCCTGGAAGTCTCAGCCGGTCCCGACGGCTGGACGCGGCGTGCGTCCCCGGCCTCGATGCACAGGCCGAAATGAGCGTCCTGATCCCGGCGGCAACGAAAACTGAAAACCGG